GGGACCACTGCCCTTCTCTCTGTTGGAAGTGATGCACTGTACAGCCAAGGACCTCAGGCAGGGAACAGCAGCATCCACAGGTGATGAGGAGAGCAAGGAAGATTCTTTAAGATTGTGCATCATCTAATTAGTAAACATAATGTTTTTTGTGTTTTTTTTTTAAAGGCTGCTCCTTGAAGCTGAAGGCCATTGCCTTATATCTCAGGCATTTTTCCCATACTAAGCCAATAGAGCATCAATATATCAATAACATCTGTTATTTAAGTTCCCCTCTTCATAATAGTTAAAGAAATGCTTAAATATTAGTTAAAGAAATGCTTAAAATAAGTAACACATGGTATATTTCAACCTCCAAAAATAACATTGCTTGTTTTAAGTGATGGCATATCGTTTGTATTTTAATTAAATTCAATCAAATAGTCCTTGTTTAATCAGAAGCAACCCGCTACACTAAAGACTTGTAAAATATCGATAGTGTGAAAAGTTAATGATACGTGTTCAATTAAGATCCTTTTAATATGTTCCAGTCATGTAATAAAAGACTACCCTACTTTGTCTCAAACCAAAAACTGTAAATTATAATTATGAGAAATGTTTAGACATTATTACCTTGGATCAACAATTACACACAGAACTTGATTTATTTATTTATTTATTTTAATTCTTTCAATCTTTTTGACCCCCTATAAGCAGTTCCATTATTGGTAATTTGTAAATCCCAATTTAGACCAATTTTCATTTGAATCCTCATATTTTCTTTTCATTTAAGATCCTCATAGAATGATTAGCCTGTTTTACAAGAATAATGTTAACCCTGTCACTACATATTTAACTGATTTATTTTATTCTTATCATGGTTTTAAATCCCAAAAGTTCAACAAATTTAACCTTTGAACAATTTGTTCTCTTAAAACCCTTCTATAAAATATGTCTTAACTAAATTACCTTCATTTATTGGGTTTATCATATTTGCCAATCTGTTTTTGGCAGTTTTGGGGAAAAATTTGATACAACTAAGTTTATTAAATGATATAAATGTTCAGGTTAGACCTTCCTGGTCTTCCTTGGTTCAACCACCTATTATTTCGGATTATAGCAGGAGAGATGCAGCAATCAAACAATCCCTTCCATGTTTTAAGAAACACTATTTTGTAAAATCTATTTGACACATGATATCATTGTTAATTTTAATGTATTCAATTCAGAATATTCAGTATTACTTCAAAAACTCCAACTTACCCAAATAGTTAGCTCATGTTTAATGGGTGCTAATACACCTTAAAACATTTAGTGAATTTTGATTTAACCTCCTTTTATATTTTGCTGTAAACTGATCCCAAAACTAAAAAGTTCTCAATAGATTAACTCACAATTTGCTTGAATAGATTAATTCCATGCATCCTCAACTGTTTCTAGAGGGACATTAGTCATTTATCGTTCAAATACCATTACCGTTGCTGTTGCTATGGACACCATTACATTAGCTACTCTTCATATATGGAGGGTACTGTGGATGAAAGAACATTCATGGGACTGAAGTGCAGTGCAGTTCTTGAAGGTCAACTTAAAGAAGACAAATTATGGACCACAGGCCTTTTTTTCTTTCTTTTTTTCTTGAATCTATACATTGGGCTGTCTGAAGTACTGTTGTTTATAGGATATCAATCAATCAGAAGTGCTTTACATCATTAAAAACAAAAACACAGAGTCATGTGACATTGAATAAACAATCAAAAATAATAAATAAATACAAAATAAAAATAAATAAATAAAAAAAAAATAATAATAAAAAAAAAACAATAAAACCCGCACCCCTTTTTAGAACTTTAGTTAAAACGCCGTTTAAATGGGACTCTAACCCTCAGGACTTTATAGTAACAATCCTCTAAAGATACTAACAAAAAACTGAGCCCTGACAGTCAGGGAGAGCATTTGGGATT